TTTTTTTTTTTTGTGCTGAAACGTTTCGCCTTGGGTCCGGAAGGCTTCATCAGTCAAGGAAACACACAACAAAACTGATTCTTCCCCCAACAGCTTACTCCAAAGTGGAACAAACCAGCTCTGCTTGTGATAAGATGGTCTCTTTGCTATGCCCCCTCCTCCATTGCCAGCCCTCTTCCTTGTTGACAGTCTTGTCAAACTGGTTGAAAACAACAAAGTCCATGCTCAATAATCCAGGTATACGATCCAACATTTTTCAGTCAGGTCATCTGGACAGTTTCTTTTTTTTTTTTGTGCTGAAACGTTTTGCCTTCGGTCTGGAAGGCTTAATCAGTCAAGGAAACAGACTGACTGACTGACTTGTTCAGAGTGCAGCATCTGAATGACTGAAGACTCTGTGCAGGTCCATTTTGGTGAAGAGAGAGCTGAGTTGAGTTGCAAGGCAAAGCTCTTTGTTTACCGGTGGGTTTATGCTCCTATTTTCACCTATGGCCACAAACTCAGGGTAGTGACCAAAAGAACAAGAATGAGGATACAAGCAGTCAAAATTAGTTTTCTCCGAAGGGTAGCTATATTTTCCTTAGAGACTGGGAGAAAATTTTATTTATCCTGGAAAGACTTGGAGTACAGTCACTGCTCCTCCACATTGAGAGGAGCCAGTTGAGGTGGTTTGAGCATCTGGTAAGGATGCCCCTTGGGCGCCTCCCTAGGGAGGCACTCTGGGCATGTCCCTCTGTGTAGAGACCCCAAGGAAAACCCATGGATGGATGGATGGCATTTTTTTCTGCACATTTGGTAAAAGGGATGAAAATTTAAAATGAACAGGAAGATAGTACATAAGTTACTGGCACTAAGAAGGCAAAGTAAAACTGCAAAGCCAATTGAAAAATAGCTTTTGAATCATGTTTAACTTAGCCTTGATTTGTGATTTCCATTGGGGTCGGGGGAGTCAGTATCGGAGAATCTTTTTGACATCACACAAGAGGAAATTATAGAGTACACCCCTGCCAACCTACTTCAATTTTCCAAAATACTCACAATTCAAATTAGGGGTTACTTCTTACTACTTAAACCTACTATTTGAGAAGAAAATGTCAGACAGAATGAGAAGGAAATAACACATACATATATATATACTGTATATACATATATATATATATAAATAAGAGCACACACAGAAAAGACCTAGTTAAACAGCTTTGTCTCACAATTGCAGTCAGATCCTATGTAAAATTGGCTATTGGCAGGCTTTAGATAAAGCTAGGTGAGAAAACTGGGAAAAAAAAAAAAAGTTGGGAAAGACTTCTTAGTTCCTAGGAAGCCAGACAACTAGGTTTATGTTCTAGGTTCAGATTTAAAGAGTTGCAAATCTGAAAAAAAAAAATTCCCAGTCAGCCAGCAGAAGAAAAACACTAACTTCATGTTAGTCCATGACCTCACTGGTTTGGACCGCAGATCCCAGTCCCAGCCTTGGATGACAGAGCACTCTCGCTTTGAGCTTCACCGCGGCTTGGCCTTCTTCTTCTGTTTGGTTTTCTTTCTTTCTTTTTCTCCCTCCCCATTGTTCTCTGTTCTTCATAGTGTCCTAGTTAGATTCATAACAATCCATTAGTGTCACAAAGTCCTCCGGTCAGCTAAAAGGGCCCGACTCTATGCCTGCATTGTGCCATAAAAAGAAATGACACAGAGCTTTCCACTTATTACAAGACAAATCACAATTACCTCCAAGCTTTACTGATGACCTATGTTCTGTACAGCTGTGTGATTTATAGAGAACGCTCATTTAGGATCCCTGTTTTGTGTCTAACTCTGATTCTCAGTCACAGATAGGCCAGTGCAGTTTAGACTAGCAGGTTTTGTGGTGAACCAAGGTTTCGAGTAACATTAATACTTTGTACTTGTCTTTAGGCATGCTGCAGTATCACTATTAAAATACTTACACAGCAAGCTAAGAAAAACATCTTTAAGTCTTTGTTTAAACCTTGTATGATCATCTGGCTACTTGACTTATCTGACTTCACTTTAATGATGTCACTGCACACCCAGATGTGAGCAATTAACTTGATGAGTACAGAACTACAAATCTGTAGGCATAACAACATCCTTGTTGCAATAAAATGAGCTTGTCTTAAAACCTTAACGTACCCCTTTTTTTTAGATTTTGGAGAAAAAAATGACAAAAGTAAACAATTCTTAATTTTACATTTGTCTTTAAAATCTTAACAATAACCAAATTACAAGTCATATGTATTGTCATATCAAAGATAGAACCTTTTAATATTCTACGGATTTCAGAAACACATCCTATATATTTTTTGTTATTGCAATGTATTCACATTTTAAAGATTCAATTCACAAAGAACTAAAGGGCTACGATCTCCCTCTTCCCATCAGACAAGCCCCTTCACTGTCCAGTTTTAAAACTCTTTTAAAAACACATTTTTACTCCCTGGCTTTTAGCACAGACTGAATTTTGCTCTGCACTGTTTATTTTTATTTTTATTGATCTTAATGTTTTAACAACTGTTTGATGTGTTTAAATGTTCTTGATTTTATATGTACAGAACTTTGTGGCAGCTGTGGTTGTTTTAAAGGGCTTTATAAATAAATTATTATTATTATTATTATTATTACTAGGGCTGAACAATTAATTGCATTTGCAATAATATCGCAATATGAGATTTTGTAATCGCAAAGGCTGCAATTCGGCTGATCTGGTTATGTCACTTGCGAGACAGCAGAGCGGAGCAAAGCAGAGCAGGGAGCAGGAGAAGTCAACACTGCGCTTTAACCGGTTGCACAATGGCGTCAGGCTCGACAGAAGCTGATACATCTGAAAGTTTGGGACCAAAAGGGGCAGAATGTCCATTGTTTGGAATTATTTTGGCTATACAAAAGAAGACACTGCACAACGACATGTATTGTGCAGAACCTGCCTTGCTGCTGTTGCTACCTCTCAAGGTAAGACCACAAATCTTTATCAACACTTAAAAAGTCAATTATGATAGTTGCATGACTAGAAAGCCAACAACTAGTGTCTCAACTTAAAGTTAGCAAAGTACCAGCTGACAGGGATCACTGACCAAACTGTTCGAAGGTGTAACTCATATGAACATAATTCGAAATGGCACATGGAAATAACTCGAGCAATAACGGAGTTCATAGCGAAAGACATGATGCCCATTAATATAGTGACCAAGCCTGGGTTATGGCTTTGTTAAACACAATAGATAAGCAGTACAGAATGCCCTCGCGCACACGTTTTAGCCAAGTTGCTATCCTGGAACTATACAAAAAAATGCAGAAACAGAGTTGCAGTGGAGATGAAAACAGTGGAGGTTTTTTTGCAACTGAAACAGATTTATTGCTTGGGTTCGATGAAAAATACATGAGAAGAAGACATTAAAAAATTATCACAAATTAAATTGCAATCACAATACTGATGTAAAAAAAATTGCAATTATAATGTTTTCCAAAATCGTTCAGCCCTAAGGGCTATATATCAAGAGTCTGCACTGTCTTCTCAGCGCTTACAGGCTGCACATTGGAAATCCAGTCAGCAACAACATCCTGTCGCAGGGCCCCTAGGAAGTGACCTCAGACCTTCAGAAAGGCCAGATAAAAAGTCCACATCAGAAACAAACAGAAAAAAAAGGCTCTTCGTAATGAGCTATGCACCAGGCTCCAGTGTGTTCTGAAGGAGACCAGGTGGCGTGACACACATATGACTCTGATTAGGGGCCCTTCAACTGAACAAGAGAAAAGAAAAGAAAGTAGGGTGGGCTGTCAGGAGCCAATCAGACGGTTTTGTGTGTGATGCAACCATTTGTGGTGTTTAGCGATCTCAGCTATCTATGCTAAGAAATACTACTATACTCATGAATGGCCAATTTGCTTTTTAGGTATGGGGCTGCAAGTGAGGTATTGTTTTAAAATGAGAAGCAACATGTGAGCAGCATCAACCTCAGTAGCTAATATGGTGAAACACTGCTCTACAGTGTCCTAAAAGTCCATTACAGGTGGAAAAGTCTGCATAATGAAGGAATTAGTAGGCATAGAGTATGAGTTTACACTCACATATACATACAAGTCTCAGTTATTTGGGATGCTGACTGCTGCTAAAGCACCAACATAGCTCAGAACAAACATTAAGACCCTCCCACACATGCCTATCACTAACCAAATAGTTGTACTTTTACTCTTTGGGAGTTAAAAAATGTCAAGGGCGCCTCTGCCCTCATTCCTCAACAGCTAGTTTCATCTTGGCACATTGTGCTGCATTTGACTGGACTGTTTAAATGTCTCCTGCTATCAGGGAACACAAACAAGCGGGCCTGCCAGCCTGGTGAGGAGGATAAGGAAGGGGAAACAGAGGCCATTCTTCTCCTTGTGTGACGGGAATTGTGTTGGAACAAGCACCTGTCACCCCACAACAATGACCACAAAGGTTGGCCAGAAAGATGGTCAGAAGTGGGACACAGAAAGGAGCAAAAGAGGGCACCGGTGTTTAAAAACTGGATCAGACAGACCAACTAATGATTTTTTTTTTTTTTTATTCCAACCAACCAAATCTCTGCATTTTACATTCAGAAAAATATATGCATTATTACTTATTCATGAACCAGATAAACATCTGTTTAACATCTGCATTAACATTTTGAACCATTAAAACAGCCTCTAAAGCTCTTCTATTGTATTTTGCTTGAACTACCTCATTTCTCCTCCTCACCCATCACCTCTGCCTATTTTCAGCACCAATTTCACACTCATTTTTTTTAAGCAATAAAGAATGGAAGCATCTCTGTGTCCTTAATACTTCCCCTTCACATGTCCTCTAAACAGAAAGCACAGAGGAATTTCTGGGATCTGCACAATCCTACACGTTCGACATGACAAAAGACTCAGAGGTATAAAGAAGAGCTTACAACCTGGATTCATTGTTCTCTGCAGTGATGGTTGCCTAGCTTTACCTATTTTAAGTCTGCTGTGACTCTACTTACCTCTCTGTCCTTTAACTTCATGGCCAGAACCAGCTGGTTGCGGTGGTTAGTCAATGCTTCACGGTAGTTCCCCTTGGAGAAGAATGCAGAGCCCAGATTCCCATGAGCACGGCATTCCCCCGTTTGGTCACCTGAAGACAAAAAAACAAAACAAGAAACATGAGATTAAAATGACAAGTAGTAACAAATGGCAGGGTTATTGCATGAACCACCTGCTGTTTGATTCATTTGACCTCATAGTCACTGGTACCTTGATGTGGTGAACCACCTCTATGCCACATGCAAGTCACCACAACCGTAAAAGGCAAAATGGTCATTCTAAGTTCTCCACAGTAAAGTGGCTCCTATGACAGCTGCTGGTGTTGATCTCGGTTTTCCAGAGGGCGAGAGGGGAAAAGCCTTATTTCTGCCTGACAGAGAGGCCTCACAGTCATGGCCAAAGTAAAGCTTAAGTCTCTGTGCTCCACCTGAGAACCTTCTTATCTCCAGCTGCTCTGCCCACTCATGTGTCAAATGTGTGGGGGTGAGAAGAGTGGAGCCAGTCTGTGCTGCGCTCTGTTTTCATTTTTCCCCCTATCTCACACGTCTGAGTTTTTCTTTCCTTACTGTTTCTCTGGTAAAAGGTCACTCCTTGTCTGAAGAAGATAGATTTAGGTAGCCTTTAATGTCTGAGCTGGAAGTTTGAATGGCAAAAAATATGATACAAATAAATGATTTTAGGGGAAAAAAAATACCAACGCAGTTGACCTTAGTATTAAAAACTATGCTAAAAGTCTTCAAATGCACAAGAAGAAGATAGATAAAAATAAAAACACTGCAGCAAAGCTGTTACTCAATGGCATATGCCTCAGGAATGGAGAAGAAGTGTGCTGGTGCCCATTTTTAAGAACAAGGGTGACGTAAAGAGTTGTAGCAACTACAGGGGAATTAAGTTGATAAGCCACATGATGAAGATCTGGGAGAGAGTTGTAGAAGCAAGACTTAGATGAGAGGTGACTATCTGTGAGCAGCAGTATGGTTTCATGCCAAGAAAGAGCACCAGAGATGCCATCTTTGCGTTGAGAATGCTGATGGAGAAGTGCAGAGAGGGTCAGAAAGAACTCCATTGCGTCTTTGTGGATTTATAAAAAGCATATGACAGAGTGCCGAGGGAAGAGGTGTGGTATTGCATGAGGAAACCTGGAGTGGCAGAAAAGTATGTTAGACTGGTACAGGACATGTATGAGGACAGCAGGACAGTGGTGAGATGTGCTGTAGGAGTGACAGATAGCTTCAAGGTGGAAGTGGGAGTGCATCAAGGATCGGGTCTGAGCCCCTTCTTGTTTGCTCTGGTGATGCACAGACTAACTAACAGATGAGGTCAGGAAAGAATCCCCATGGACGATGATGTTTGCAGATGACATTGTGATCTGTGGTGAGAACAGGGAACAGGTGGACGAGAACTTGGAGAGGTGGAGGTATGCACTTGAAAGAAGAGGAATGAAAGTCAGCCGTAGTAAGACAGAGTACATGTGTGTGAATGAGAGGGAGGCCGGTGGAACAGTGAGGCTACAAGGAGCAGAGGCCACAAAGGTGCAGGACTTCAAGTACTTGGGGTCCACTGTCCACAAAAATGGGGAATGTGGAAAAGAAGTGAAAAAGAGAGTCCAGGCAGGATGGAGTGGATGGAGAAAAGTTTCAGGAGTGATTTATGACAAAAAGGTGTCAGCAAAGGTCAAAGGAAAAGTTTACAAGACAGTGGTGAGACTAGCTATACTGTATGGTCTGGAGACAGTGCCATTGACAAAAAGACAGGAGAAACAATTGGAAGTGGTAGAAATGAAGAGGCTAAGGTTCTCCTTCGGAGTGACAAGGATGGATAAGATTAGGAATGAGATCATCAGGGGTACAGCACAGGTTGAACAACTGGGAGATAAAGTTAGGGAGGTCAGACTGAGATGGTTTGGCAATATCAAGAGGAGAGACAGTGGGTATATTGGTAGAAGGAAGTTAGAAATGCAGCTGCCAGGAAAAAGACAAAGAGGAGATATATGGATGCAGTTAGAGAGGACATGGAGGTAGTTGGAGTGAGGACAGAGGATGCAGAGGACAGAGTGAGGTGGAGGAGGATGACTCGCTGTGGAGACCTCTGAAGAGGGAAAAGCCAAAAGAAGAGGACGCAAAGCTAGTTACTATATAAGGCAGTTCTTAGGCTCTGTGATGATTGGGGCTAAATGCCAGTATTAGCTTGGTAGCTGCTAATGCATATTTTAAAATATCGGTATGCAAAAATTTTTACCATTAGCAATAAAAAACGTGTATTTTATTGTATGTGTATTTTTCAGCTAACAGAAATATCAAAATTAAAGGAGGCACAAATACAAATTTGTTCTGACAATAAGGGGATAATTAATTGAAACTACGTGTTATTCTGTAATGAATAGAACTATCAAAGAAAAACAAAAAAGGTTGAATCATGTCATCTGGACTTCGTTTTTTTTGTTAAAAAGAAACGTTTCGCCCCTCATCCAAGAGGCTTCGTCAGTCTGAGGCCTAGCCATC